ATTCGTTGGACGAGAGTACTGTGATAACGTAATGTATCAATGTTAAGAGACAAAAGAGAGCTATCTTCCTATTTAAGTACTAGCTTAAAAAAACTGTATTCATAATATTAATTTTGATTATAAATAAAACATAAAATCATAAATCTGGCATCATTTAAGTAAATCCATACTTTGAAGGAAACCTGAAAATTCATCGGTCAAAAACCGATGCCTACAGGAGTAAGAGATGAAACTCTGTCTTGTCTCAAATCATAATGTGCTTTTAAACAAATATAATTTTCAAGGATTGATAAAAAAATTAACCTTTTCAAAATTCAATTTTAAGGGCGAGATACGAATTTTGTAAATTTCTGTTGGTGACAAAGATTTACAAAACTTTTTTCCTTCGTCTTCGTTGCGCCTAGATTCAAGATATTGGGTCAAGGCTTTGCGAGCGATCGAAACATTATTGAATCGAGGAATCTTCATCGAGTCACAGAGGCTGTCCATATCGTAATCGCGTAAGATTTCTGTCGTGATAACATCTCTATCGGTTCGCGAAAAAATTTCCCGAAAGTAGTGAGTCCAATATTCACGATGAGCCAATCTGTGCTCCATTTCCAAAGAAGTGTAGGTTAACGAATAATTAGGCTCTGGTGGTAATTTATTGAGAGGCAACGTTGCTACGCAGCTCGTTCTTGCGACATTTTTTATTTGACCAGATAATTTTGTCGGATTGTAATCACAATCGAGGCGTGTTCTGGTGACTGTAACCCAACTCTTTTTCTTTGTAGAGTCGCCGTCGTTCGTACTCTGGGCCATGACGTCAAATTCAAGCTCGAACGGATTTGTTACTGAAAATATGATAGTGACAGTTTAATAAGCTATTGGTTTTCATACAGGCGAGTATGAGAAAGAAAAATGTACATTTCATCAAAATCGAGTAAAAAATTAACCAATAAAATTGAATTTTACGTTTTCTAATTTAGGGTTAAGTAAATAGTTAAATATTTCACCGGATAGTAGACAAAGTTAATATCTGATAGTGCCTTTGCACTTGAATTTTGTGAAACTCATCTGTATGTCACATTGACATAACTGAATGAGCACAATTTGCCGACAAGATATATTTTTCCCTTTCAAGAAGTTGACGTTTCATCTCCAAAAATAAATGAAAATTTACAATTGTACTCCGCTTTTACAGTGACGAGAATTTCAACTGTTCTCAACGGCTTCAGATGATTCTGCTGTGGCTTGCAGTGGGCAAACGGTTGGGGTACAAACGTTATCATTAATGGTAACTGCCTCGAGGAGTTTTCAACACTGATCCTACGCTGTACTACGTCACCAATATTTAGATCACCCAAATTAAGGGTTTCGGGCTTAAAGTTCAGCCTAACTGTTTCCACTTTGCTGTGAAGGTAAATGGTCGCTTCGGTACTGAAGTTCTCGGTCGTCGATTCGTCAGATATATCGTGCTCTTCTACCAAAGAATCTTCTGGAAATAGAAAAAAGTTTCTTTAGTTGGAAAACATATACTTGTGTACTACCCACAACTCACCCACGTACAACCGAGACAATCGTTTTTGCATATCCATGTTCGTGTCTGTTTCCGTTTCTAAACAATTAAAATTAACGTTAAAGACAGAAAAGAAATAGTCTCAATCAACAATCACGTACTAATAATTTCTTTGGCTTCGTCGATTTTCATCTTACATATCTTGACGGTCGTAGCAAAGTAGTCAACGTATCTATCGTTCATCTCCTTCTGTTGTAATTTCAAGACTTTTTGCGTTGGTTGAAAACTAAAAAGGATAATTCCAATACTTGACTTTAGTTCTATTAATCTCAATGATATTTAAAACATATTTTACGTTATGGTAAACAGTTTTTCTTCAAAAGGTTGCAATACTCCTTCCAACGGTTCTATCTTGAAAGCACCGAACATCGCATTTCCTTTTGCGATTATTTCCTAAAACACAATCAACAGGACACTGAAAAAAGCGTAAAATCTCATAGAGATGGTGACAACTGCATTTTTACTTTGATACTAGTCGAACGTCCGTCATCATCGCCGAATAGAACGAAAATTGCGGTTTGCGAGGAAATATTCTTCAACGTAAAAGTGCGGTGCTTACAAGTCCCCGCAAAAATCGTTGGAAAATCCAACAAACAGTAGCCGTCTTTAACACCAGGTGGATCCACAATCTCCAATTTCGGTCGCACAACCTTGAAATTCGCCGTAACCCGCACGTTCGGACTCGACTTGATCCTTCGAATGAAAAAAACCACAAAAATTATTCGTTCCGACAAAATCTCGATACAACGATGAAAATCCTACCAGAACTCCTTGCAATACGACCCTTCACAAAGTCCTGTGACTTGGACATCCAGTGCCAGTGAGTAGTTCGGTTTTATAAAACCTTTCGCCGGCTGGATGTTCACTCCCATCGCGTTTGGTCCCAAATCAACGATGAATCTGCACGACCACTCGTGCGATTGAGTACCAAACGATGGAGATTGAAAGAAGCGAATCCCTAGCTTACCTCGTACTTTTCTCGCCAGAGTTGGTTAGCCTGAGTTTTTTAACGATTGATACCGATCCAACATCGATGCAACCGAGATCCAGCACAGCTGGCTCGACGGAGGTTCTAGGCTGAGACGCAGTGCAAGTCAGGTGGTAATCCAGGGGAGTCCCGTTGATCTCGATAGGAATCATAGCGTGGGTCGAGAAGGGAACCTTGTAGGAGTAGCGGACGACCCTGACGAGGCTCAGGCCCGGACATAGTCTGTGGCCCTGCTTCGAGGTGGTTTTTACTTTGAAGCTCTGTGGGAACGTTTTTTTTTATTCTCGTCCGATTAAGCGTAAACCCGTACGCGTGTTGTTACCATGGAATTTGGGCTTTTGATCTTGACGATGGCAGCCTTATTGCCAACGTTTTGAAGTGTCAGAGTTTGATCGATGGCCAAGCCTTCGGCGCCGTCTTTGAATTCCATGTAGGAGGGTCTGATTACCACATCGTCCACGACAGAGTGCTCCTCAAGTGGAATGACGCGAGTAGGGTCGATTGGTTGAAAGGTGCTTTGGAATTCTGGTGCTGAATTTTTCACGTTCGCCTCTTCGTCGAGTATTGATGACTCGAGTGTGAAAATGGCAATGTAATTTTGATGGTTAGGTGCCTGATGATTTTTTAGGTGACGAAGCTCAAATCAAGAATAAAAAGGTCCTTACTATCGATATCCTGTGTCTTATATTTTTCTCCATGGCTAATTTGTATGATGGAGGTGCCAGCGGTGTTAAAAGGTTATGACGTTGCTTTCGGTTTTATTTGCAAATGCAATCTTATGCAATAGAAAAAATCAACCGGATACGTTTGTAGTCTAACCTAACGAGAATCGGGAATCGGGAGAGAGATAATTTTTTCGAACCACTTGCGTTTAACCTTTGCATATGAATCAGGAAATTTTTCCCAAGAAATATTTGAAAATTGTTTTTTTATTAATAAGAATTTGAAACGTAAGTTTTGAATAATGTTAGGTGAAAAATAAAAATATGGATATTGTGTTAATCTGACGCTTTTAATTACAGTTATGAGAATCAATATCATTTAAAAATTATCACAACTTTCAGAGTAACTCATAAAAATTTTTTGCACTTGAACAATTTGTAATATTGTGCATACCTCTATTTTTGAATTGAATCCGTAGAAATAAAAAATTTCATTCGGTTAATGAAAATTGTTGAAAATTTGTATCATTTGTTTAAAAATAAATGTAACAGTACAAAAAAATATTTTTATTTATTGAAAGCAACCCAACGTCATGTAAACAAATATATTTTGGATTGATATTCTTTTACAAAGAAAATAAATATTAATTTTAACTTAGTCATTTCTAATCAGGACGAAATCTTTCTTCTGGTGATTTGTCATCACTCGCAGTTGTTTGACGCATATACGTATATTCCAGGAAAGCACACCTTTGCTGTAGCCATGTACAATTGTTAAAAATTTTGTACTTTATATTTTGTTTTCAGGCTTAATGATATGACGAACACTAAATATGAATAAACACCTACAAATTTATTGTTTATTTTTGTGATTAATTGTTTTATTAATACTTATCAAGTTTTAACTCGAAGTCGTGTGCACACCTGTAATGTGTTAAGAAATCAATTTTTTCTTAAGCATGTGCATGCTTTCAAAAAAAGATTTGGTTTAGAGGCATTAAGATTATTTTTAGCGTAAATGTTTATGTTTGTTATTGAAAAACATTGAAAAAAAAAAAAAAAAAAAAAAAATTAATTTGCTGACATGAATAGATAGAGATAAACAACTTGACCTAAAAACTAGTCCATTAAATAAAAGTTACTATTTGTCTACTATTAAAAGCAAATAAACAAATAAGCAGATTGAATTTAAAAAAAAATTTTTCTCTACCTCGTTAAGTTTTATTATTTATTCAAACACTACATCCATTTTCATACTTTGTTACCGACAAGAGATTGAAAATTGCAAAAAATTTGTTATCGCTGTTTATACGATGACCGCATCAAAATCAATAGTCGTGTGCATACCGTGATTACTCATATCTTTCAAATAACGATTGATAGTGTGGAAATCATCACTAAATTTCTTATTAATACTTGTATTAATGTCTCAGAAAACAGTTAAAACTGTACAACTATAATCAAAGGTAGCATTGAAAAAAAATGAAAAAAAAAAAAAAATAAACAAATAAAAAAACAAGTATACCTTGACTCCAACTTTTTTTAAGCGTGAGAAATAATTGCTGGTTCGCGCGTAATCTAATCAGCACGAACGGATTCACACCTAGAAAGAGTTAAAACGCGGGATATGAATCACAGAGGTGAGTTTCACGCGAGACCTTTTATTGATGATTTTTACAAATAGGTGTGCGTGTGTGTGCACCTTATCAGCCGCGCAAAGTAACGCTATCGGACTGGTGAGCCAGGGTCCTCGAAATAGCCTGGTCTCTGAAGAAGAAGTGCAGATCGTGTCACACGCAGTTGCGGATCGGCTTGTAATTTTTTTCTAGACTAGCGACACGAGCGACACAAAGATGGACTGGAAGTGTTTGGTGATTAGTGTGCTCTTTGCATTTTTCGTTGATGCTCAGGAAAAATGTAAGCTATGTAATTTAATATCAAATTCTTATTACTATTTTTTTTAAATCCACAACAATGATTGCAAAGTATTATTAAATATATTTTGACTACAAAATGTCAATAGCTTTGATAAGTTATTGTTACTTCATTTCTACAAAATTGAAATTGTTAATTTCAATTGACATACATGAATAAATATTTTTTTTAAGGGATGATTTCATTAGTAAAATAAATAATGTCATTTGTATCATTAATCTGTTTTTTAGGCATACTAATGCTGATGCATTTTATTTTCAATTTAATTAGTTTTATATTTTAGTAAAAGATAAAGGTAAAAATTTAATAGATTTTATCACATCATAAGAGGTAATAACGATTAAATTGATTTAACTGTAATTTTTTCGAATAGCTTAATAAATACTTAATGAACTGATCGCAAAACGAGTCATTCACAACGCAAATATGACTCATTCACTCTGACTCTTTAAATTATTGACTTACTTATTTGGCGAGATAGTGTGTAAACGACTTCATATTTTCTCGCATTTACAGGCATTATTTTTTAAGAATTAAGTCATGTAAGGTATGTTGTTGTATAGCTTCACCGTAACCGGTTCAAAGTCAAAATTATAGTCTGTTATCAAATAAAAAAAAAAAGATACATACATTTTACCTGTCGTATCATGTAAGATTGTAATGTATTGTCAGCTAAAAGAGATTGCATTGAATGTGTTGTATTTTTTCGTGTGGATAAGTAGTTGAATAGGCAATCAACAGATTATGTTATCTATTAAACATTGCGATAAGATTCTTCTTTATTTTCTAAACCTGTACGTAAAAGGCACGTTTTTAATCACATTATAAAGGAAAAAAAACCTTTAACAAAATTATTGATTCTCATTATTAATAATTTCATTGAAAAATACTACACATTATTGTACCTTCAATTTATTTCGCATTACAGTAAAATTATGCGTACAAGAAGATGTTACGGAGACGTCGTGCAATGCACTATCACGTTTGGACAGTCCAATAAAGTGTGAACGAGTAGTGGACAGTGCCGAGTGCGCAAGAAAACTTGCCGAAGGCAGAGCTGATTTTGGTATATTTACGGCGGACGAACTTTTGCTTGCTCATAATTTTTATCCAACTGGAATCAACGTGGTTGCTGAGCTGAGGAACAAAGAAAAAATTGATAGTGAGTCAAATTTAATAAAGTCAAGAAATAGTTGTTCTTAATTTCAAATATTGAGATATGTAACGTGTTCAATCTTAGTTAACGAATAAGCATTATTTTAGTAAAAAAAAAGTTGAGTTAAATTTGTATGTATGTTCACATAGAGTCGTTTGAGTTTGAATCTGTGGTTGTGATACGAAGGAACTTCACTCAGAAAGGAGAGGATTTGGGTTTGGTTGGATCGACTTACTGTCATCCTGGTTTCAGCAAATCACAGTTGTGGAACGATCACGTGTTAAAGTACTTTGAGAAAAAAGTTGTCAGCAAAGTTTGCCGGAAAGATGTAACCACAGCTGAAAATGAAATCATCAATCTGAGAGATTTTTTCAAAAAAGGCTGTCGTCCTGGAAATTGGGTTCCTGATGATACTTTAGATAAGAAGCTGAGTATGTATGAAATTAGTCACTAACAAAATAATAGTCATGTCACTATAAACATTCGTGAAACATAATCAGTTGTACACGCATTATGACTTTTGCAATTACTTTCTACGAAATGTCTTTCTCAAGAAGATAAATTGCAGTACATAGTTAGTAAGAGTAAAAAAAAATTTTACTCTAACAATTGAATTTTTGGATATTTTTAGAAAAAAAATACCATCAGCTATGTCAATTATGTCCTGATCAAGAAAAGTGCAAGTACACTTTACCTGAAAATCATGGACATACAAATGCATTGGATTGTCTGACATCCGGACAAGGGAGTATTGCATACGTTTCCCTGGATCATGTTAGAACTTACTTTTCGGTTAGTTAAATAGTCATTAAATCATTTTCAAAATTATTTTACCAAAATACACTTACACAAATTTTTTTTTATTTTCTATAAAACCGCGTGTATAAATAAATAGAAATAAATATAAAAAAAGAACCATATGTTTATAAATTTAAAGAGGTAAATTATTTTAGAACTTATTAGGATTTAAAAAATGTTTCTATTGACTATATAAAATAATTTAAATAATACATCAATAATAAAAAAAAAGTGTTTGTTGTATTAAATACTTTTATACATTATACTTGAATTGAAAATAAACTTTTGCTTCAATTAAAAATGAAATTTTTAACTTTCTCATCTTTTAATCAGTGGCTGGAAATATAATTCTAATTCTAACTTTTCAACGGAAAAATTAAATATTTTTAAACCCTGTTCGAGAAGTTGCAGAAGTGAAAACAGTTAATTAGTCGTAATTTACAGACATAGCGAATGTTATGCTCATTTTATATGATTTTTAAATGATTAAAAACGTTTTGAACTATTTCAAACAAAATTTTTTCATGTATTTATTTATTTCTTTTCAAAAAATGTTATGAAAATTTGATAAGACGAAATGAGTAAAAAAACACAAATGGTAAAAACAGGTAAATAGGTACGTAATTCTAGTTCTTATTTACAACAACAACCTCATTTTTTGATTAATAGTTACAATTCGACTCTTCATATTGTGTATTTATACGTATTTAACTAGTCATGTTATGTAATAAAAAAATTTCTTCGTAGCCCGAACACCCCATAAAAAATGTTTGGGACTATCAATTTTTTTGTGAAAATGGCTCCAGAATGGATCTCGATTCTGACAATCCTTGCACTTGGTACAAACAACCTTGGAAGGTCATTCTGGCTAGAGAGTAAGTTTCATATTCTCCTCCTCAATAAAAACGTAATTTTTCAATACTTCAGAAACAATGCGTAATAGCTTTTGTTTTCTTTACACGATATTGTTCTCATACATCAAAAATCCAACGACTTTAGAATTTAGAATTTTTTCATTCTTCCAGCTCCAAGTTTTCTCAAACACGTAACCATCCAGTACACTTAATATTTTCGATATTTTCGAACCTCGAAATAGCTTGTCATTAAACTTAATAACTCTTGATTCGCTAAACGTAAATGAAAACATTCCAATGTCATTTTAGAACATCAGCTGAAGAAGTCGTAAGTAAATTGGAGAAAACAGCGATAGTGACATTGGCCGCAGTGCCATGGGAAAAGACTCTTAACGACATCCTATTCAGCAATGACGATTCGCCGGTCGTTTACAAGGAGCCCGTGTCACCGATTCACCATCTCCTCCAAGCCAAAGGTACGGTCGAGCTGCCAAAATCCGATTGCGGTCAACCGATTCGCTGGTGCACAGTGAACAAGCAAGAGCTGATCAAGTGCAATTGGACAGCCGCGGCGGCTCGGAGCTTGGGAATACAACCGGACATCTCGTGCATGATGGCTTTGTCACCCTTCGAGTGCTTCGATTGGATAGCCAACAACGACACTGACATCATGGCCGTGGACTCGAACTACGGACTTTTGGCCCGAAAGTGAGTTGTTACTTATTGTGACGTTTCATGTCAAAATTCAACTGAAAGCTATACTTACCTTTTCCATCAAAATTGCAAGCACGGAAATATTTTAAGCTCATTTGACGAGATATGACCTCTTGAGTCTTTTATAGGATAGATGGTTAGTACTCTAATCCACCTAGATTACACAAATTCCGTAGACTTACTCTGAGATTCTGCATGGATTTCACATGTAAATATATGTCTAAATTTTTTTTAATAATCATGGAATACACTTAGAATAACGCAATAGTTTCCATATGTAATCTAAAAAATAATCTGATACCCTCTTTTGGAATTCTTGGGACACTTTAATGTGAAAAATGATTTCTCACATGTAAAATCACATCTAGAAAATATACAATGATTTTGCATGTATTTGTTTATAAACTAATGTGAATTATATTGGGGTTTGCTAGCCTACTAAGTCTGGATGTGATTTAAATAAAATTTCAACGAATTCATGAAAAAATCCATGTGAAATTATTATTCTGTATCCCCTAAATTAGATAAAATTTCACGTAAATAAAATTAATTTGTGTAGTAGAGTGTCTTGCAAAATTCCCAAAAAATTAATTAAGATGTTTTTTCGATTGTGTACAAGAACAAGCGTGTAGAAATCATACTAATCTTTCCCAAGTTCTACAAGTATTTTACTTGGGAAATTCTGACTAAAGATATGTTCAAGTGGATTCTATATTGTTTATTAAAAAAGATTAAATTTATTTATACGTAAAATTTATACACATTTCTGGATAAAACATACTGAAATTGATTAAGGGAACTTTTATATGTAGTTCATATACATTCGAATGATACTTAAAAATATACTTCTTTATAAAAAAATATTAAAGTGACAAAAGAGCAATTAAAGCAGATACTTCGTTATTGTTCAAAACTTTGGGTTATTGAGAACAAGTTTTGTGATTTGAAATTTATGAAATTTGTTTATATTTATATTTATATTTGACAATAATTTCAACGTTTGGCTTCAAATTCTCATAACTTTCGAACGGAAGCTTCCCGTTGTCCAAAACTTTATTTTATCTCTGGAAAATTGCAACAGCTTTTATAAATTTATGCTCGGTTAAAAAATGTTATTGCATAGTAGTACAGCTAAAGTACAAATTCAAAAAGTTCATTTGATTTTTAATTGTTTCCCACGACTAAAGAACAATAGAGTGTTATAGACTCTAGTACCGTAGCTTCTTTCATGTTCTTCCATAAGAAAATATACCCCAGAACTTTGTCTCAACCCACGTTCCTGCACTTCTCGTAAATGCCGCTTGTAAGCAACTCGTAACTTTTATTATTATACTTACAATGCTTTCTTCCTCTGCATCAATAATTCAAAAAATCGTTCAATTGAAGGAATTACGGTCTAACAGCGCTGCTGTACTGCGAAACCATGGAGGACCACTACAGCGTCGTGGTCGCTGTTACTCGGGACAAGGCGGTTTTGAATAAAATCAGTCAGTGGTCCGACATCAAGGACAAAAACGCCTGTTTTCCCGAATTCGGTGGCATAGCTTGGCTGAGTTTCATCAACGCAGCGCGCGATCATCGTATTTTACCCGACTCTTGTGCTTACACTCGGGTCGTGTCGAAACTTCTCAAGGGCGCCTGTACGCCGGGCTTTGTCGAAGCCGATCATGCCCAGGATCACAAGAGACCTAGTCTTGCCACCGATGGATTCGTGAGTATTTGGTTTACCATTTATTGGTTGTATTCAATAGTTTTGAAAAAAAAGTGTTTTCTATGCTGTATCTATGGTTCAGTAATTTATGAGTGCATATTTGGATGAAATCTGTGGTTGGAATTTGCTGGTATAGGATTAATTAATAATAATAAAATAAATCATACCGATACGTACGTAGGCTAACTTGTGCAACTTGTGCCCTGCCCAAACAAATGGAGAGCGTTGCGAGGCCAATTCGATGAATAAGTATTACGGGGACAAGGGTGCTTTGGACTGTTTGAAATCCGGTGATGGAGATATCGCGTTCGTAGAAGTAAGGAACTTAAATGGTCAGTATATATTATATGGTACTTAATTTGAGTGAAAAAGTTTAATTGAATATACAAAAAAGACTTATATGTTTTTGCTTGTGAGGCACAATTATTACATTTGTATCACAGAGTCGATTTTTAAAGTTATAACAAATTATTTGTTTTTATTTTTTGTTTGTCAAAGTATTATAAATTCTCCTGTTACTTTTACGCATCTATTCCCAAATTTTAATCAAAAGCTAATCAAACATTTAAAAATCAATCAATCAACCAATAGTTATTGTATTCTTTCATTGTGCAAAAACCAGGAAATTAGACATTACTAATCAAAACATTTTTTTAATTTGGTTCTTTGATATTCAATTTTTGGAGGAATTGTACTTTTGTAAGCCGGCCTCACGTGATCTATCAATTTATTGTTGCGACAACTTTAACAATTGCTTATCAATTCTTTTATATTTTATGATTTAACTTACATACAACATTATCAAAATAAACTTTTGCTTCAATTAAAAATGAAATTTTTAACTTTCTCATCTTTTAATCAGTGGCTGGAAATATAATTCTAATTCTAACTTTTCAACGGAAAAATTAAATATTTTTAAACCCTGTTCGAGAAGTTGCAGAAGTGAAAACAGTTAATTAGTCGTAATTTACAGACATAGCGAATGTTATGCTCATTTTATATGATTTTTAAATGATTAAAAACGTTTTGAACTATTTCAAACAAAATTTTTTCATGTATTTATTTATTTCTTTTCAAAAAATGTTATGAAAATTTGATAAGACGAAATGAGTAAAAAAACACAAATGGTAAAAACAGGTAAATAGGTACGTAATTCTAGTTCTTATTTACAACAACAACCTCATTTTTTGATTAATAGTTACAATTCGACTCTTCATATTGTGTATTTATACGTATTTAACTAGTCATGTTATGTAATAAAAAAATTTCTTCGTAGCCCGAACACCCCATAAAAAATGTTTGGGACTATCAATTTTTTTGTGAAAATGGCTCCAGAATGGATCTCGATTCTGACAATCCTTGCACTTGGTACAAACAACCTTGGAAGGTCATTCTGGCTAGAGAGTAAGTTTCATATTCTCCTCCTCAATAAAAACGTAATTTTTCAATACTTCAGAAACAATGCGTAATAGCTTTTGTTTTCTTTACACGATATTGTTCTCATACATCAAAAATCCAACGACTTTAGAATTTAGAATTTTTTCATTCTTCCAGCTCCAAGTTTTCTCAAACACGTAACCATCCAGTACACTTAATATTTTCGATATTTTCGAACCTCGAAATAGCTTGTCATTAAACTTAATAACTCTTGATTCGCTAAACGTAAATGAAAACATTCCAATGTCATTTTAGAACATCAGCTGAAGAAGTCGTAAGTAAATTGGAGAAAACAGCGATAGTGACATTGGCCGCAGTGCCATGGGAAAAGACTCTTAACGACATCCTATTCAGCAATGACGATTCGCCGGTCGTTTACAAGGAGCCCGTGTCACCGATTCACCATCTCCTCCAAGCCAAAGGTACGGTCGAGCTGCCAAAATCCGATTGCGGTCAACCGATTCGCTGGTGCACAGTGAACAAGCAAGAGCTGATCAAGTGCAATTGGACAGCCGCGGCGGCTCGGAGCTTGGGAATACAACCGGACATCTCGTGCATGATGGCTTTGTCACCCTTCGAGTGCTTCGATTGGATAGCCAACAACGACACTGACATCATGGCCGTGGACTCGAACTACGGACTTTTGGCCCGAAAGTGAGTTGTTACTTATTGTGACGTTTCATGTCAAAATTCAACTGAAAGCTATACTTACCTTTTCCATCAAAATTGCAAGCACGGAAATATTTTAAGCTCATTTGACGAGATATGACCTCTTGAGTCTTTTATAGGATAGATGGTTAGTACTCTAATCCACCTAGATTACACAAATTCCGTAGACTTACTCTGAGATTCTGCATGGATTTCACATGTAAATATATGTCTAAATTTTTTTTAATAATCATGGAATACACTTAGAATAACGCAATAGTTTCCATATGTAATCTAAAAAATAATCTGATACCCTCTTTTGGAATTCTTGGGACACTTTAATGTGAAAAATGATTTCTCACATGTAAAATCACATCTAGAAAATATACAATGATTTTGCATGTATTTGTTTATAAACTAATGTGAATTATATTGGGGTTTGCTAGCCTACTAAGTCTGGATGTGATTTAAATAAAATTTCAACGAATTCATGAAAAAATCCATGTGAAATTATTATTCTGTATCCCCTAAATTAGATAAAATTTCACGTAAATAAAATTAATTTGTGTAGTAGAGTGTCTTGCAAAATTCCCAAAAAATTAATTAAGATGTTTTTTCGATTGTGTACAAGAACAAGCGTGTAGAAATCATACTAATCTTTCCCAAGTTCTACAAGTATTTTACTTGGGAAATTCTGACTAAAGATATGTTCAAGTGGATTCTATATTGTTTATTAAAANTTCAGTTACAAATTGTTTTTATTGTTTCTTTTTGGAATTTCAGATAAGAAAATAAATTGGCTTTCATAAATATTGATATATAATGCTGTACAAAATGTTTAATCAGATTATAGGAATGATCAGTTCAAGGAGCCTGCAGAGACAATTTTTTTCCTTATTCCTGTAGATTTCATACTGATTTAAGTATCCCTCTCAAAAATGTCCTTAATTTCGTCAAAAAATTTCCGAAACTGAGGGTATAAATTCTCATATTTTGTATTAAAATTATATTAAAGAATAGGTCCAAACTAGGAGAGCTGCAAGTTGTACGAAATAAAGTTATTAAAGAAAATGCATACATAAAATTTATAAAAAAAATTAAATGTAAGCAGGGATGAATATTTTTTTAAAGATTTATTATTTATTGTACGTATGAAAAATATGAATTTTTTTAAAGTACAGAGTTAATGCAACTACAATGGAGTTATTCTCAATGACGCGAATAAATCAAAGGGGCACTCCAGATCAGGTAAGGTAAATGTCCCTATTATGACCATAAATTTCATCATACTTGCTTCTTTAATTTTTTTTCTTAACTGTGAGCTTTAACAGTAGAAATTTTGGTATTACCTGGTGCCTATAAATTTACCATTATTATTCTAATTTTCAAATATGGTTATTAATTGTTCAAATACTTTATTTTATAAAAAGGTTATAAGACTAAAATGTACAAAATTATGAAACGTTGTACCTATTGTTTCATATTATGTTCCTATTTATGAAACTTTTTAAAAAACGTAAATTTAGTATAATATTTCAATACAATTAAAGCTTTTTACTTGCAGAACACTACTTTATTTCATAAAAATAAATATATCGTTTATTTGTTTATTAGAAGTATATAAATTCCTCGTTGAAGTTTGGTGCCATACTACGTACAGTTTAAAAGATAGGTTATGTACGACTTTGTCCCTATTTATGGAATTATCTGTAAAATTGGTCATTTATTGTATGTAAAATAAAATTTTTCTTTTGAATTCATAAAGATACATAAAATATACAACTACCACAATTTTTTTATCAAGTAAGTTGTATAACAAATATATGAATTTTCATATTCCATGAACAGAGACATAATCCACGAATAGGGACATGTACCTTATACTGTGAAAAATTATTCATTTTATTATTTAAATAATTTATGTAACTTATTTTTGTAATAAAATCATGTTATCTATTTTAACCAATCATGTAGCGAATGAAAGGGCTTCAGTAACAATACAATAAATAGTTTAAAATGGGGTATGACAAAAATGGATTTTTTTCTTAACTTTTGATATATGTCATCGTTTAAGTATAATGCTATAAAATTTTTTTTTTATCTTGGATTTTTTTTCCTATTATTAACGTTTGCTGTATACCGTGACGAAATATACAATTCATAGTTTAAAATGGGGTATGACAAAAATGGATTTTTTTCTTAACTTTTGATATATGTCATCGTTTAAGTATAATGCTATAAAATTTTTTTTTTATCTTGGATTTTTTTTCCTATTATTAACGTTTGCTGTATACCGTGACGAAATATACAATTCGAATAAAACTGTTAAGATAAATTTTTTCAAAATTTCTTAAACATCATTTAAATTGTGCAGCAAACATCCAAAATTAAAAATACAGTTGAGGTTGGAAAAATTATTACTTTTTATTACTATTTTTTTTTTTCTTTTTCATTTTTACTTTTGGAGATATCCTGTGTCTTATAT